TTTTATGAGCTCCAGTAGTCTCAGTAGAGTCTTTTCGTTCACCTATATATAGATATGTCACCTGCAAATTGGGAAAGTTTGACTTCCCCCTTTCCAGTTTGTATCCTTTGATTACTTCTTCTTGCCTAATGGCTCTGGCTAAAACCTTCAGGACTATATTGAGCAGCAGTGGTGAAGGTGGGTATCTTTGTCTGGTTCCAGATCTTAGTGGGAATATGTCACTTTTTTTTTTTAACTCTTTACCCCCTGCCTAGAGCGGTATGCCTTTTCCCTATTCTGCCATCATGGAATCTCCAGGTTCATTATTTGATAGAAATTCCTCATTGTGAAATGAATGCTTTAACAATGATTTGCTTATGTTACATGCCATGACCGAAAAGCCGCCACAAAACACACTAAACATCAGAGTTAATGGAAAGGCTCATTGCCCGGTGAAGGGAAATCTGACAGGCTGGAGGGAGAGGGCAAGAGAGAACGAAAAGAGAGAGGAGAGCAGGTCCTTTTATAGTCTTGCAGGGGGTAGGGAAGTTGGAACAATAATCCCATCAGGGTGGGGGTAGAGCTGACCCTCGTGGTTGGGCCAGTTGGTTGCCTGACTTCTAGTAAGTCAGGCTGGGTCCTGGAGAGGCCGAACTTAGTATACAGGTTGGTGGCTGGGCCAGAGCCCAAGATGCCATCCGCTGCTTGAGACGGTTTCATTTCACTAACAATGATAGAATTATAATTATATTAATTAAGGGGCCAATATTAAAAATTTTTGAAGGTATAAGGAAGAGGAAGTAAATGTCTTTTTCAATACATCTGTATATTCCTTAAGGAGAGGCACCTTGCCTTATAGGTTTTCATGCTGTATCCTCTTATAAGGAAACAACGTTTATTTATTATTTAGGACTTACTCTTACCTTTTGATGAAGACAAGTGTTTGGTGAATACATTGGACTGGCCCTTTGGGTTTCTAAATGAAGTTGGTTGGTTCTTTCTTTTTTTGCTACTTAAGCCTATAACATTGTATTTCCAAAAAGAGAAAAAATAATGAAATTTTTCATTTTGGATAAGGAAAGTATTATTCCCCCACCCACACTGAGTTGAAAGTAGTGGGGGATCCTTTCTGATGTTTTATTGTGAATCATTCTTTTTCTATTTACTGGTTGCTGTAATTACTGTCTTAATATACTAGATAGGAAAATGCTTCACATAAATTATATATGATGCAGTCTTTAAGGAAGTGAGGCAGACCTACATAATTATCCTTCAGTGTATCCTTCCTTTCTTTTGTTGAAACTACAGTACTTTTAAGGACATCACCAAGCCATCCATCTAGAGATGATATTTTCCAGTTATTTTCACGACTTATTGTGCTCATGTGACTCAATTCTGACCACTGTTTTTGAGAACTAATTTATGCAACTTCTGTGTCACCCCTTAAAATGGGAAGTTGACAACCTCGACATCCTCTTTTCCTTTTGTCACTGGTTTAGATGATGAGAATTGAACAATTGCCTTAAACTTAGAACTATGCATTGCATGTGACATTGTTGTCCTGCCAGTTCTACCTGTGGATTGTTCGATGATAGAATGTAATTTTATATATCTTTAAATATTTATTTATATACAATATCTATCTATATATATATAAATTTTGTATATAATAGAGTGATAGACTTTGTTAAAGATTTATTTATTTGAAAGACAGAGTTACAGAGAAAGGTAGAGAGAGATAGAGAGAGAGAGGTCTTCCATCTACTGGTTTACTCCCCAAATGGCCACAACTGCTAGAGGTGGGCTGATTTGAAGCCAGGAGCCAGGAGCTTCTCCCAGGTCTCCCACACAGATGCAGGGGTCCAAGGACTTAGGCCATCTTCCACTGCTTTTCCAGGTGCATTAGCAGGGAGCTGAATTGGAAGTGGAGTAGCTGGGATTCAAACTGGCACATGTATGGGATGCCAGCACTGCAGGCCAGGGCTTTAACCTGCTGTACCACAGCACCGGCCTTAGGCTTTTCTCACACACATACACAGACACATAATTTTCTTTTTTGTGGTGACAGGGTGGGGATTGGGGTTCTTATACAAAGTAACCCATACCTTGATGAATTTTGGGAGAGAGTGATATAGGGGAGGATATTCCAGGAAAGTAGATAAATTATGGCAGTACATGGGACTCCAAATCCCATTAAGTTGGCAGGTACCAATGCCATCTTACTAGTTAAAATGATTAGCTTAAGTTCATAACTAATCAAAGATAGGATTAAGTGTCAAAAGGATCTCATAAATAAGACCAGTGTCTGCTAATAATAATTGATAGAATTAAAAAGGAGAGAACGACCCAACATGGGAAGCAGTATACACAACAGACTCACAGAACGACAAATGCCCTAAACAGTACTCTAACCTTAGCATCAGCCCTTAAGGCTTTCAGATCTGGCTAAAAAGCCCATGAGAGTATCTCAGGCATGGAAAGCCAAGACACTGTGGCAAAAAAATTACCTAAATGAAAGATCTCTGTGAGTGAGATCCCGGTGGAGAGAAGGCACCATCAAAGAAAGAGGTACCTTTCTCTGAAGGGAGGAGAGAACTTCCACTTTGACTATGGCCTTGTCTAAATAAGGTCAGAGTTTGTGAACTCAAGAGGCTTCCATAGTCTTGGCAGCTCATGAAAAGAGCCTTGGGTGATTACTGACGTCATGACTAAGAGTGTCAATTGTTAAATCAACAACAGGAGTCAACTGTGCACTTGCTCCCCATGTAGGATCTCTGTCCTTAATGTGTTGTACTATGAGAATTAATGGTAAAACTAGTCTTCAAACAGTACTTATATTTTGTATGTCTGTGTGGGTGCAAACTGTTGAAATCTTTACTTAGTATAGAGTTGATCTTCTGTATATAAAGATAATTAAAAATGGAATGACTTTAAAAACCATGTTCCTCAACATGAGCATAGTGAGTGGGTAAGAGGGTTGGCACTGTTGGTGGAGTTTCATGTCTTTCCAGTGATGCTAGAATTCAGACAATGCTGGGCAGTTTCTCCTTTCTAATCCAAACTAAATTCATATCCAAGTTGAGCCATTTTAGAAAATTACTTTTCTAGTATATTCCTGACGAACTGCTCCCCTGTAGTCATTTACTCACATTACTCAGTTATTCCTCATGTACTTGCTGAGTCACAGCAATACTGACTTCCATGGAGCTTTGGATCCTGTGGTATATACTCTAAGAAGAATCAACTTAGATGTCTCTGGCTTTGTTACCTGTTGTCCTTTTGACATATCTTATATGGTATGTTAGTAATGAAGTATCTTATTATATTTGGTCTTCCTCCAGGAACACACAGAGGGTTTAATGTTAATTAGCCAAAGGATGATATGATTCATACACTAAGAAATACTCTTCTAATTAGTTTTTTTCTTTATTGCTTAGTGTTAGCAGTGAAAGATAGTTTTTTGTTAAACTTTTTTGTCATTTGCTTTAACTTTATTACTCTCAGAGGAGAAAATGGAATTTCTAGGGAAATCAGATCATTACTTGAAGAGGACTTTTCTGTATCATACAAGCAAGAAAGACAGTGAAAATGAGTGATAGTTTGACCTGCCCTACTCACGTTCAGTTGCCCATATTTGTGATACTACTGCTATCTTCCTTTGGATGGTGTTTCAAAAGGTTGGGGGGCTAAACTCCTTATTGCAGATTCTCTCAGCTGCTTTATTTGCCTCTTAATAGCTTTTCAGCAGGCATATTCAGTTCATAAATGATGGTAAATTCCACTTAATTTTAAGTAGAAACAATTACCAAACTCAAACATGGTTCTCTTTGGCTCTTTCTTTTTATTTGAGAGGGGCAGGGAAAAAGTGAAAATAACTGTTAAGAGAAAAAAAAAGTTTTTTAGGTCAGCAGTACTAAGTTATGTGTCTATCTTATCTTAGATCTAAAATGCTGTCCCATGGAAACTGATTTTTGTAATAAAAATCCTAAAGTACTTAAAATACTTTCCATGGGTCATTAAGGAAATACTCATCCATCAGCAATTATTTATTGACTATCTGTGAAATCCAAACAACAATGTAAGCTTTGTGTTGTTAGTCCTGTTTTAGGGATGAGGAATCTTAGGTGCAAGCAATTTCAAGAACCTTGTCAAGATGACCCAGCTAATAAATGATGAAAGAAGGAATAGCATCAAATATCAGGGTAGTTTAACTTTTTTTCAAAGAGTAGGCAATCCAGATAGAATGATGAGACTGACATATGAAAAAATTAGAAAACATTAAACTTGGCATCATTTGGCAGGATCTATGGGTATGATATTTAGAGGACAGAGAGATTAATGAGGGTTGTAAGTAATAGTGAGGCTTTGAACAACTTTATACTTCAGTTAGGTCTTAAAGATGAAACAGAACTTGTGAAGGCAGAGTGGAGGGAACATACAATTTGGTCATGGAGCAGCTGAGCAAAATAATGCAGGAAAAATGCAGAATGTAAGTTCATGGAATTTCCCATGTTGCATACATTCACCTTTTTCTACTGCAAACTTTATATTTCATCATTTCCAACCATTATGGACAAATGGACTTCTGATATGAAAATCTATTTTGGACTTATAGACTGCGATGAGACTTTAAAAAATCTGTCCTGAAAATTTGGCACAGTGAGGGTTTGTAATGCATACAGAGTTCTTGAATTCAGTATGCTTTTCTTACTGCCATACTGCTCTGCACAGGTGAGGTGAGGGTAATGGGGTAGGGGAAAGAATACAGTACTGCATATTCTCTGTCTCCTTCCCAAGTACTAAGCAGACTGAATTCTGCTTAGCTTCCCAGATTGCAAGACTGTCAGCTGGACAGGGGGAACAAAATGGGCGAAGTTTCTTTGAAGGTGCACATGTGGACGGTGTTTACTGTCTGACTGTTAGAAGGCACCTTCATCACGGTAAAAAGGAATTTTCCTGATACTGTGAAGTTTATTGGCAAAAGTTATATAGTATCACAGAGGCACTCTTTCTCTCTGTAGAGTTCCATCATATGGGTGACAAAAGAAACTCACAATAGGCTTCTGAGATATGATGTAAAGAACCGGAAAGGAAAGGAGTGTGAAGATAGAAAAGGAAGCAGAAGAAAAGGAATAGGAAGGTAAGTTTACTGTTTTACTTCAATCTATGTTCTTATTATCATATTGTTAAATTAAAAATGGAAGTTCACAGACATTAGCTTTTTGGTCATGAGATGAGAGCTGTTCTTTTAGCTGATAGGTCAGAATATATAGAAGGAGAATGAAGCTTAAGATACTATCAGAATTCTTAGATGGTTACTCAGTGGTTATCCTTAAAATCTAGCTGGGACGTCTTTGAAACTAGGAGTGATAAATTTCTATTTTCTTTGATACCTTTCATAGAGTTCTGCCTTTAAATGCATACAGAGAGGTAGATTAGATGACTTCTGCAGGCTTGCAAGTCTATGCTTACATTCAAGCAAATTACTGCAAGCAAATTGACATTTAGATATTTATAAGTATTTAACAGAGACACTTTGAAGAGTCTACCCTGTCTGTCCAGATACATTTTCTTTTCTTTTTTTTTTTTTTTTTTTTTTTTTTGACAGGTGGAGTGGATAGTGAGAGAGAGAGACAGAGAGAAAGGTCTTCCTTTTGCCGTTGGTTCACCCTCCAATGGCCGCCACGGCTGGTGAGCTGCAGCCTTCGCACCACGCTGATCCAAAGGTGCTTCTCCTGGTCTCCCATGGGGTGCAGGGCCCAAGCACTTGGGCCATTCTCCACTGCCTTCCCGGGCCACAGCAGAGAGCTGGACTGGAAGAGGGGCAACGGGGACAGAATCCGGCACCCCGACCGGGACTAGAACCCGGTGTGCTGGCGCCGCTAGGTGGAGGATTAGCCTATTGTGCCACGGCGCTGAGCCAGATACATTTTCACAATTATTAACATAATTTAAAAATTGGAACCCTGGGACAAAAAATTCAGAAAGAATTCCTGAATCCTATATTAATGGAGAAAGATATACCTAATTACACCTTATTTTCTTTGTAGTACAGGCAGTGTTTTGAAATATTCTAGCCATTGAAAATATCCAGAGTGAGATTATTTGCATCAAAATGGAAGGTACAGGAGTATGTTATGTTTAGTGAAGTGAGTTGGACACAGAAAAACAAATACCACATATTCTGTCTCATATGTGGAAGCTAAAAATGTTGATCTGGACTTAGAATAGTGATTTCTAGAGACAAAGAAGTATAGGGATAATGGTGTGGAGGTAAGTTGAATAACAGGTAATAAAACAGATAGAAGGAAAATATTCTGGTATTCTGTAGTATAGTGGGTTGACTGAAATTCAAAATAACCTGTTATATATTTTATGAGTAACTGGAAGAGAGGACCTAGAAGCCTCCAAACAAATTAATGATAAAGAGATGGAATTTTAATTACCCTGATTTTATCAGTACACATTGTATACACATATGGAAATAACACAGTGAACCTGAAAAGTGATGTAAAATTATTATATGTTAATCAAAAATTTAATGCTAACTACCCGAACTAATCATTACACATTTTACATATGTGTCAGAATCACACTGTGTCCTACAAATATCTATGATTAAAATTTAATGAAGAGAGATTCTGTATTTATATCTGTATATAAAGAAAAAAGTTTTTTTAAAAAGGATAATGTCTTTTTAAAGGATATGCCTTTGCTTTGCTTTTATATTTTGGCCATGCAACCTAAATAAATGGGCAACTAATTTTCAGGAAATAGCATTATGCAACTAATATAGACATTATACCTGAAAAGACATTGCATGTTTTTTCATATTTATGTCATATTTATAGAGACTTTATATTCTCTGATAACCTTTTGAAATGTCCCTGGTTTAGAAATAGAGCTTTTAACTAAGCAGGAAATTGCTATCCAAAACCTTGTTGTTTTCCAGATTTCTTAAACTCTATGCATTAAGGATCCTTGGGCTCCATTCATTAAATTGTTACCTACTGTGTGCCAGGCATAATTCAAAGCATTAGGAATACAATGAGAATATGAATGACATGGGTCTTCTCATTACATAGTCATTGTCTAGACTCCTAACCTCTTTATATAGTATTGTATTTAGTAAACACTTAAAATAATTATAAGATTCCTTTGTATAAAGCTAGATGATTGCAAGAATTATTGTAATACCTAGAGAATTTTGGAATTGGGAAGGAATTTGTGAAATATTTTCTTTTGAGTAAAAAAAATCCATTTTAGAAATCACTGGTAGTTCTTGATAAATCAGATATTCTAATTTTTTTGTAAAGTGGTAGAACAGAGTATATTTTTATAGATCTGAAACAGCAGCATTGGTAAGGAGGCTTGCAACAACAAATCAATTTCAATTTTTGATTCTTATTTCTGAAATGGTTTTCTGTCATAACTCTTGAAAACTAGTCCTGTGAATTTTTAAAATTATCATTAGGAGCTCTGGTGTAATTTATGTTAAGAGGTTTTGGCCTGTTTATGTTCCTTGGAATGTGCCAAAATTAGTAATGTGATATTCCATATTTAGCAAACCTATAGAGCAATAAATAAGGACACATGCCTATTGAGGAGGGCTGTTAGTTTAAATTCTTTTTTTGTGGCATTCATGAAATGCGGGAGTCTTCCAACTTAAATTCTGCAATATTAGGCAGCAAGTTGTTTTCTGAACCAAACCAGATGGTGATCAGCTCTATTCCTATTATCAACTCAATACAGCGATGGTTGCCAGACCTTACTTGCAACATTAACATTTGGAACAAATTAGCAGCAGTTAAGGTGAAATGAGAAACCCCCATTTTACTAAAAGCTTCAGAACATATAATGCTGTGAAATAAGAAAGACCAGTAAGAAAAATTATGGGGGGAAGAGTTCACTGTCTTACCTTGGTTTCTCTGTGCAGGATTTGTTGTTTCCCATTTATGAGGGTCTTTTTCAATGGAATTTTAATGTGGAATATTGTGAGGATTAGGGGCTACTAGTCTATTAGCCTCCTAAGGTGCCTCATTTTATCAGATTAAAATTCTTTCTCTGTAACCATGATCAATCTACGCCTTGGGAAAACAGGGAGCATTGTTTGCACCTTTGGGAGAGTTTTCTTTCAAGAAGTTCACACACACACACACACACACACACGCATATACATTATGCAACTTTATAGTTTCACCCAATCACTGAAATTCAAGAACGCTGCCTAGATTTGTCCTGTGGATATGGATGTGTTTGACTAAATGCTTTGCCTTGTGTGTCAATGCCATGTGTTGTCGACTTTTCAAAACAATCTTTTCTTTATAGCATCTTTTGATCAAATCCGTTCCTAAGGTTTTATAGGACCAGCATAAATCAAGGTGTCTTCTTAACTTCAAGTTTTGTGCACAGGTAGAACCAAGTTAAGGTGAACAAAGGATAGCAAGTCTTGGAGATATAACTACCAGGATGAAGTGTTGAAATAGACTTGACTGAGTTCATCTCCCATTTTATAGTATAGATAACTGAGGTACTGAGAGGTTAAAGGGTTTTCCCAAATACTCATAATTGGTTTAAGTGGTAGATGTGATGAGGAAAGGATGTGAACATTGCTAATATGATTGATGTTCTTTAACAACCAAGACTCAAAGATTGATATGAAAAGGTAGATCCTCTCCATTTTATGCCCAAGTGGTGGCAGTCCTGCTCTTGTCTGGTAAGCTAAACAGCCTACCAGAGAAACCCTTCAGAGAGAGACCAACTACCTTTTTGCGTTTTTTGTCCCCACCTAAGACTTTGTTACAGGGATGTTCAAAAAGCCTTTGCCTCCTTCTTGGTGTGATAGTAAATATAAATTTTTTTTTAGGAATGGATTTTTCAAGCCTTTTGTATAAGAGTCCTTCAGAACCTTTTTGGAAAATGCATATTATGAAAAAACTATGCATGAATTTAAAACTATTTTTATACCAAATAAACATACTTTTAACTTCCATTTCCTACAAACATTTGAAGCACCCCTATTATGTACTACAGAGATAGAGGAAATGAAAACAATGCCTGGTTCAATGTGTATAAGAATACCTGACTTCTCTCTACATTATCTGAATTTTGGGGTGCAGTTGTTAGGAATATAGACAAAGGAGTTACGAAAACCTGGAGAGTGACAGCAGGTGAGAAAGATAATCAGGCTGTGAATGATAATTACAAGTTTTAATAAAGAGATTGTTCTTTACCCTAAAGGAGGATAATTATTTCCAAGTATTTTAACAGTAAATGATATGATAGGCTATGTATTTTGAAACAATATGACTGTACCCAAGAAGAGGAAAATTTTTTCGAGGTCAAGAGTACATGAAGACCAGTTAAGAGGTTATTAGAGTAGAGCAGATGAATGATAACTTTTTCAAGCGTGATCTTTCAAGTCTTGTTCTATTTATATCTCTGTCTGCCTATGACTATGGCTATTTTTAAACAAATTTTTTATACCATATTACTGTCTAAACTCTAATTTTTTAACCTCACAATTTATTGTGGACGTTTTTCAACATTTAATATTTTCTATGTTAATTTCAATGACCAGGTAATATTCTGTCATGTGGAAATATTATAGTTCATTGAATTGAATCATCCCCTGTTGGTGGACATTTGCACTTTCTATAACCATTGCTATGATGACTAACACTATAAATACATCTTTGAACACATGCATCCATGACTATTTCACAAGGATAACTTCCTAGAAATAGAATTTCTGAGGCAAAGAGTTACTCACAATTTTAAATTTTGCTGGGGGTTGACACATTGTTCATAGCAGCAATTCAAGTTCCTGTCATCCTGATCTCAAGGGCAGCCTGTGAGTTATATGCAAAATTCTCCACACTGCACATGCTCCTTAACCCTAGTTTGTTAGAAGTAACTCTTTCATATGGTGTAAAGTACTCTGCAAATAATCAATGTGGTAGTTGCTTCTCTTATACCAGAAACAAAGAATTAAAATTTGAAATTGCCAAGTATTTGTGAAATTTAAATGAAGAATTTATTTTTAAAGCAGTAGCTTTAAATCTATTTTAAAATTACTGTTAGAGGGTACAAAAATTCAGTGTATATGAGTGAAATTGACATTTTGAGATTTGATGATTG